ATCCCAGGGGGTATCCTGGAGGTATCCCAGGGTTATCCCGAGGGTATCCTGGGGGTTTCCCCTCCGGGGGTTGTGCCTCAGTCAGAACTGGACAGCGCCAGGAGAGATGTTGAACATGGAAGGGTCAAACTTCTGTCCCCGGAACGGAGAACCCTCCGTGTCCCAACCTTTCTTCAGCATCTCGTGCACCTTCTGGGGGAAGATTTGGTGTGAGGCAACATGGACCTCAACTGGGCCATCTCCGCACCTGGGCCCAATCTCCTCACCTGGGCCCATCTCCTCACCTGGGACAATCTCCTCACCTGGGATATCTCCTCACCTGGGGCCATCTCCTCACCTGGCCCCATCTCCTCACCTGGGCCATCTCCTCACCTGGCCCCATCTCCTCACCTGGGCCATCTCCTCACCTGGCCCCATCTCCTCACCTGGGCCATCTCCTCACCTGGCCCCATCTCCTCACCTGGGCCATCTCCTCACCTGGCCCCATCTCCTCACCTGGGCCATCTCCTCACCTGGCCCCATCTCCTCACCTGGGCCATCTCCTCACCTGGCCCCATCTCCTCACCTGGGCCATCTCCTCACCTGGCCCCATCTCCTCACCTGGGCCATCTCCTCACCTGGCCCCATCTCCTCACCTGGGCCATCTCCTCACCTGGCCCCATCTCCTCACCTGGGCCATCTCCTCACCTGGCCCCATCTCCTCACCTGGGCCATCTCCTCACCTGGCCCCATCTCCTCACCTGGGCCATCTCCTCACCTGGCCCCATCTCCTCACCTGGGCCATCTCCTCACCTGGCCCCATCTCCTCACCTGGGCCATCTCCTCACCTGGCCCCATCTCCTCACCTGGGCCATCTCCTCACCTGGCCCCATCTCCTCACCTATCCTCATGTCCTCACCTGGGCCCATCTCCTGTCCCCATCTCCTCCCCTGTCCCCGTGTTCCTCCCCTGCCCCTGCCCAGGTCCCACAGGTGTTGGGGCTGTACCTGTCACCCCACACTGTCCCCCATGGCCCTCACCCTCCTCTGGTCCCACAGGTGTCCATCCCAGGTCTGTGTGCACCCCAGATCCATGTGTGTCTCCATGTGTGTCCATCTCAGATCTGTGTCCATCCCCAGATCCATGTGTGTCCATCCCAGATCCATGTGTGTCCATCCCAAATCCATCCATGTCCATCCCAGATCCATGTGTCTCCATGTATGTCCATCTCAGATCCATGTCCATCCCAGATCCATCCATGTCCATCCCCAGATCCATGTGTGTCCATCCCCAGATCCATCTGTGTCCATTCCCAGATCCATGTCTGTCTCCATGTGTGTCCATCCCCAGATCCATCTGTGTCCATTCCCAGATCCATGTCTGTCTCCATGTGTGTCCATCCCCAGATCCATCTGTGTCCATTCCCAGATCCATGTCTGTCTCCATGTGTGTCCATCCCCAGATCCATCTGTGTCCATTCCCAGATCCATGTCTGTCTCCATGTGTGTCCATCCCCAGATCCATCTGTGTCCATTCCCAGATCCATGTCTGTCTCCATGTGTGTCCATCCCCAGATCCATCTGTGTCCATTCCCAGATCCATGTCTGTCTCCATGTGTGTCCATCCCCAGATCCATCTGTGTCCATTCCCAGATCCATGTCTGTCTCCATGTGTGTCCATCCCCAGATCCATCTGTGTCCATTCCCAGATCCATGTCTGTCTCCATGTGTGTCCATCCCCAGATCCATCTGTGTCCATTCCCAGATCCATGTCTGTCTCCATGTGTGTCCATCCCCAGATCCATCTGTGTCCATTCCCAGATCCAGTCTCGTCTCCATGTGTGTCCATCCCCAGATCCATCTGTGTCTCCATGTGTCAATCCCAGATCCATCTGTGTCCATCCCCAGATGGATGGAGCAGAGGAACTGGAAGATCTCTGGGATGAGCAGAGGAACTGGAGGCTCTCTGGGATGGAGCAGAGGAACTGGAGGCTCTCTGGGATGGAGCAGAGGAACTGGAGGCTCTCTGGGATGGAGCAGAGGAACTGGAGGCTCTCTGGGATGGAGCAGAGGAACTGGAGGCTCTCTGGGATGGAGCAGAGGAACTGGAGGCTCTCTGGGATGGAGCAGAGGAACTGGAGGCTCTCTGGGATGGAGCAGAGGAACTGGAGGCTCTCTGGGATGGAGCAGAGGAACCTGAGGATCTCTAGGACACTTAGGCTGTGACCTACCAGCTCGTGGCTCTGGGGCTTGCCCTGTAGCTTCTGGTGGTAGTCGAAGGTGAGACGGTCGAGCACGGCATGTTCCTCCTCGTCCACGGTGGCCATGGAACGTTCCTTGTTGATCTTGTCGATGTCGATCTGCTCCTCACCCTCCAGCACCGCGTTCCACCAGTACTCGTCACCCTTGCTCAGGCTGATCTGGGGACAAGGGGCACAGGAGACCCTCAGGGACCTCTGCCCACCCAGGAAACCCAGCCCAGAGCTCCCCAGATGGAAACCCATCCCAGAGAAGGGAAGATGGTTATGGAGTGACCATCAAGGATGTCCCAGGAGTGAGTTGGGCCAAGGACAGGAGCACACCAGGATGAGGTCTGGGACTGGGAACCACCAGGAACACACAGTTGGGTGACCCCAAACCACCTCAGTGGGACAATTTGGGGCTGCAGGAGAACAGGAGGAGTCACAGTGTCCATGCCAAGCAGGAGAAGGGAAGGACAGAAGGGAATGGCAGAAGAGGAACCTGCTGAGATGTTGGGCTTGGAGGACTGGGGACAGGGACCACATCTGGAGCTGGGGACCCTCTCCCAGCTCCGAGGCAGCAGGGAGGACATGGACATGAGCCACACTGGACACATCTTGGCCTGGAGCTGTCCCAGCATTCCAGGTCCATCCTGGTGGAGCTACACACCCAGGAGACACCTCGTGGTGAACCTTCCTTACCAGGACACACTTCCCAGGCTCCAAGCTCCAGAGGGAACTCTCTGTGTTGACCTTGTGGGTGAGTTTGCCTTCCATGAGGACCTGGTGGCTGTTCCCATCCTGCACTGCCACCCGGATGGAGCTGCTGCTGATGTCCACGGACACCTGGAGCACAGGGAGACACAGATCCACAGGGTGCTGGTCGGAATCTTGCCGGGATCTGGGGCAAGGGAATGGGGTGGGATGGGGAGAGGAGATGCCAGGCTGGGAGCAGGGACAGCTCCAGGAGCAGGGACAGCTCCAGGAGCAGGGACAGGTCCAGGATGGAATCAGGGACAGGTCTAACCCAGGATCAGGGACAGCTCCAGGATGGGATCAGGGACAGTGCCAGGATCAGGGACAGGTCTAACCCAGTATCAGGGACAGGTCAATACTGGGAACAGGGAAACCTTCAGGATGGGATCAGGGACAACTCTGGGATCAGGAACAGCTCCAGGATCAGGCTCAGCCCTGGGATCAGGAACAGCTCCAGGATGAGGTTCATCCCTGGGATCAGGCTCAGCCCCAGGATCAGGCTCAGCCCTGGGATCAGGCTCAGCCCCAGGATCAGGAGCAGCCCCGAGATCAGGAGCATACCCAGGATCAGGAGCAGCTCCAGGATCAGGAGCAGCTCCAGGATGAGGTTCACCCCTGGGATCAGGATCAACCCCAGGATCAGGAGCAGCCCCGGGATCAGGAGCAGCCCTGGGATCAGGAACAGCTCCAGGATGAGGTTCACCCCTGGGATCAGGATCAACCCCAGGATCAGGAGCAGCCCCGGGATCAGGAGCAGCCCTGGGATCAGGCGCAGCCCCAGGATCAGGCTCAGCCCCAGGATCAGGAGCAGCTCCAGGATGAGGTTCACCCCTGGGATCAGGAACAACCCCAGGATCAGGAGCAGCCCCGGGATCAGGAGCAGCCCTGGGATCAGGAGCAGCCCCGGGATCAGGCGCAGCCCCA